CACACTCTCTCACACACACTCCAGCCTCCCTGAGCTCAGCGCACGGGACGGCCGTTGAACTTGCGGCAGCTCCCTTGAGGTGACCACGCGGTTCCCGTTTCAGAAGCGGAGACGCAGCCGCGGCTGCTTGCTGCGTCGAAGCGACGAACCCATGGCCGCCCGCGTCTCGACGCCTCCGCCTGTGAATAAGTTCGACGCCGATGCAGAGGCCCTGACACCAATCAAGGGCGGCAAGCGGCGTCTTGCCTCGGTCACGGCCAACAATGCAACGCTGCCGAGCGAAAAGATGCTACAGGGTGTGGTGATGGTCGTCGACGCAGAGGGGCGGCTGCGTCCTGTAAACGACGGCGTGCTGCCGGCGAAGCGGCCTCGCGGGCCAACCGTCGGCCTCGGACAGACGGGCGAGTGGTCGGTGTGGCACGATACATTTAGCCGCCCACTCTGCCCTTGCCCGCGGCTGGCACACCGCCACACCAAGCTACCTGGAAACGGCCATACCATGCGCCCACAGGTGTACACCTGCTGCGGCGGACGTGTGCCGGTCTTCAAGGCAATGCGCCGATATGAGGAACTGCATCGCGAGGTGGCGGACGCGGCACGAGCCTCTTTTCTGTCTCTGGACGACCCGCTAAGCGTACCCCTCGACGCTGCCTACCTCGAGGGTTTCAGCGAGGCTACCGCGGATGCCGGTACGCGGCCGCCGCCACGCCAGTTCCGTCTCGCAGAGCTTAACATAGCGCGCCCTCACATCGCAGAGTTCCGGGACGGACTTGCAGACTTCGTCGACGGCATCTCCAACGCATGCACCGACGGTGCCTGGCGAGGCCCTAGCCCCACATGGGAGGGGATCGCCCTTTGCGGAACAGCAGCGGAAGCACTCTGCCAGAGCCCATCGAGGCCGAGCCCCTTGAGGCCCTCCTCCAGGCCAGCCTCTCCGCCCAACGATGTGGACCCTTACGCATTCCTGTGGCGTGCCGCATGCAGTAGAGACTACATCAGCAGCAGCCCGCAGAGCCCAGAGATGTAGCACATAGGTTACGGTAGCCACTAGTAGGGTGCGCTGTGAAGCGTCTGCTTGTTGAGCACGAGGAGCAAGGTGTAGCGGAATAGTCCTAAAACGACAATTAGAGATGGGCCAACAGAATAGACCAAAGAAACATCGGGCGGGGTGGTCGGTGTGCGTGTGCCTAAATCCCATCTCGTCTCAGACTTTGACGTAAGCACTTAAGTTAAAATTATCGGTGGCGTGTCACCATCTCGCGGCTTCGAAAAGCTTTTACTGTCCGCCGCGCCTGATTCGTCCGCGAGTATGCTGGCCTTCCTTCCGCTCGTGTCAGCAGCGGCAGCAGAGACATGGTACCGCAGAGGAGCAAATGATGCTATGAGTGGTAGCCTCCGCGCGGCGGCGCGCCACTTTTCGGAGTCGCGACGCCTCCTCGAGATGCAGCAGCAGGCGTGCGTTTCGGCCTATATTCGCAAAACGGTCAAGCTAACCTATCTTCACTTAATCTTTTTACATGACGCACCGGTTTGGGCGCTGCATTGCAGCCCTTCCTAGTCAACGCAAGAGGAGTACCACTGCCTCTACAGTGCATTTCTTCACTCCGGCAGCAATTAGTTAAACGTCCACTGCGTTTCCCCATCCTTGTCTGAACAATCATGCACGCGAGTTTCAGACGCATATCGCACATGCGTACTAGGCGTCGACGGATACACAAACGGCGCCGCACCCGGGGCGATATGAACGCCGCAACCTCTGCCCCACGGGCGTGGTCGATGCAGACCTAGACAGAGCGGCCGTACTTGAGCGCCCCAGGAGGCTCGATCCTGAACTGAGGGCCACGCTGATTCGGAGGCTATCGGCCCTGGAGCAGCTCACCCACGCGACAGACAGCCTCCAACGTGGCGAACGGCGGGCCGCGATCGCACACCTCGAGGGAGCTGGCGGCGCGCTCGGCTGCCCTGCGTCTGCCTGCGAGCCTCATCGTCCGTCACCGGCTCGAATCGGCCCACGCGATCCCGAGAAACCGATGCCGTGAGCGGCCCCATGCTCACAGTCGCATGCGCTGTACGTAGGCCCGAGTGCGAGAGATTTGGAAGTGCTCCTGCGTGTGCATGGCCAGCTGCAGACGAGGCTCACAGGCAGCAGTTGAGATGTTCAACACGCCTTCGACGGTTCTTTCTGGTATGGCTCTATGAGGAATGATGGTGCTTGCGTGGCTGCGTGTTCGCGGTGCACGCGGTTCGTGGGGGTTCACAGTTTCCAAATCTTCTTCCAAAAAAAAGGCAGCGTGCTCGAAGGTAGCAGACATCCCCCCCATTTTTGAGAGGGTCAACACGCGCGCGCGAGGATGGGTTGCATGCCAAACGGGCGCCCGACCCGCGACCGGGCCGCCGCCCTCACCGCCGCAGCCACACGAGCGAGGGGCACGCCAGCAGCAGCGCCCGCTCCGCAGCCTCCGGCGAGAGGCCGAGCTCACAGCAGATCTGGTCCATGGTATGGCGCCCGTCGCACAAGTGGCGCCATCCGCCGCCGCCGACCAGACCCGCCCGCCCGCCCGCGCCGTGCACGCCGGTGCGGTGTGCCGCCGCCGGACGGGGCGCCGAGGAGGGCTGCGCGTGGGCGCCGCTCGCCTGTGTTCACACACGCGGCTGCGGTGAAGAGACGCCGTCCACACCGCCGACCGGCGCGCGTAGTGGCGCAGCTCACCCCGGGCATCGGAGGCTCCGACAGCGCCGAGGAGCGCCCTCTCCCCGCGGCGGCTCCGGGAGGGGAGTGCTGGTGGTGAAGCTGCGACTGCCGCTGCCGCTGCTGCTGCTGCTGCTGCTGCTGCTGCCGCTGCTGGTGCTGCTGGTGCTGCTGGTGCTGGTTGTGGCCGGCGAGAGTGAGGGCGATGCTTCCGCCGCCGAGGAGGTTGTGGTGCTGCGGGTGGTCTGGCTGGTGGCGCTGGTGGTGCTGCATCGGGCTGCTGCTCTCCTCCTCGCGCACCTGTCGAGATGAGCCGAGATGAGCCGAGAAGAGCCGAGATGAGCCGAGATGAGCCGAGATGAGCCGAGGTGAGCCGAGAGACGATGAGCCGAGAGATTGCTATTGCCTGCGATTATCTGAGGCCACCCAAGATTGCCCGAAACCACCCGAGGTCACCCGAAACCACCCGAGGTCACCCGAGGTCACCCGAGGCCACCCGAGGTCACCCGAGGTCACCCGAGGTCACCCGAGGTCACCCGAGGCCACCCGAGGTCACCCGAGGTCACCCGAGGTCACCCGAGGTCACCCGAAGTGCTTCCCCCCTCGCGCACCAAGAAGGAGAGCGAGCAGACGGTGTCCGTGGAGAGCGAGCCCAGGCTGCGCTGCCGCTCCCTGTCCGCAGAGCCGAGGCTTCGCACCGCGATGTCTCGAAGCTCGGGCGGGGCCGGCAGCGGCGGAGACGGCGGCTGTGGCGGCGGAGGGAGAGGCTGCGCCGACGGCAGAAGCCCCGTGCCGGTAGGGTGCATGTGAGCGGGTAGCAGCGTCGCCGCCTCCTCCGCCTCGGCCTCGCAAGCGGCGTGGCCGAAGCCCTCGACGGGCGGCGCGACGGGCACGGTGTGCACACGCCGGAGGAGGCCTATTAGTTCATTAGTAATTATTAATCAGTTGATTATTAATTAGGTGTGCACACGCCGGAGGAGGCCTATTAGTTCATTAGTAATTATTGATCAGTTAATTATTAATTAGGTGTGCACACGCCGGAGGAGGCCTATTAATTCATTAGTAATTATTGATCAGTTAATTATTAATTAGGTGTGCACACGCCGCAGGAGGCCGTTGGAGGTGGCGAAGCAAATCAGCCGCCGCACGTCCACCGCCGCCGCCTGGGGGGAGGGTGGGGGGGGGGGGGGGGGGCTTTAAACAGGGGGTGTGAAGACGGCCAGCCGCCGCACGTCACACCGCCGCCGCCTCCGCAGGGTGCGCAGCGCACGCCGCCAGCACAGACGTCCAGTGCCTGTTCACGGCCGCAGCTGTGAAGAGAAGTCCGCCTCACCCCCGCTGACACAAGCCGCCCCGTGCCCCAACGAGGGCGAGCGTCTGCGCTACACCTCCCCTAGATCTCCCCTCTATCTCCCCGCATCTCCCCTACATCTTGCCCCGACGACGGCGAGAGCGAGTCTGCCGGTCGGAACGCGCACAGCAGCTGCAGCAGCGCCGAGAGGAGAGGCAGCGGCGCGTCCGCGGAGGGGCGAGCAGCGTGCCTCGCCCGATCGGCCATGCGCGACGAGGAGGCGAAGAGGAGGCGGAGGCGCGGCGTCGCGGCGTATGCGTGTGCAAAGGCGAAGGGCTCGGTCAGCAGGATCCAGCCGGCCACGAGCAGCGCCTTGGCGGGGAGATATAGGGGAGATGTAGGGGAGAGATAGGGGAGATGTAGGGGAGATATAGGGGAGATGTAGGGGAGATATAGGGGAGATGTAGGGGAGATATAGGGGAGACACACGTGGCTACGGATGGGGGACGGCAGGGGCTCGCTGCGCAGCCAACCAATCAATCAACTCTCTCTCCGTTGGGGCCTGCGGCGCTCGCTGCGCAGTCACCTAGCTCACCCACGCACTAACTGCCGGGGCCTGCAAAGCTCGCTGCGCAAGCGGCACGTCGACGGCGCACGCCGCCGCGAGCGCGCTGACACTTCGCACGCCATCGATCGCGCCTAACTAATGATTGATTTTATTAATTAGTTATTAATTATTGTTCACTTCGCACGCCATCGATCGCGCCGAGCAGCCGACGCACTGTCAGGTCCCAGGTGCTGGCCTACGTCATGATCATCTCCCCTGTATCTCCCCTGTATCTCCCCTGTATCTCGAACTGTCAGGTCCCAGGTGCTGGCCTACGTCATGATCATCTCCCCTGTATCTCCCCTGTATCTCCCCTATATCTCGAACTGTCAGGTCCCAGGTGCTGGCCTGATATGGGGAGATACGGGGAGATAACGGGGAGATGCGGGGAGGTGTGGGGAGAGACTCCGCTTCTAGGGTCGCAGTGCCGTGGGAGCGTCCGGCCTCGCCAACAGCGCCGGGACAAGGTGCTCGGCCACCTTTGGAGGCGGAGGCCTGGGCGGCGGAGGCAGCTCGAGCCTCATCGTGTGCCCCGAGTCGAGCGCGAGCGTGCAGCCTCCCTCCTGCCGCAGCCCGTGCAGCAGCGCCGGCAGGATGTGGCCTAGTACTGGATGGCGGCCACTCGGGCGACGCTCGCGAGGTAGACGAGCGCCGCAGCGGGCCGCATCGGCGAGAGAGAGAGAGAGCGACTCAAGGAGATGAACAGAGGAGAAGGCCAGTGCGCGCTATGAACAGAGTGAGTGTGCTGGGCGCTGGGAGTGAGAGGATGAGAAAGTGCCCGGGAACACCTAGCTTCCCGCGCGACGCGCACGTCGACAGCAGCCTGTCTCGCCGCTCGAGAGCAGTTAATTAATTAATTAACTAATTAATTTTAACTAATTAATTAAATAATTAATTAATAGCCTGTCTCGCCGCTCGAGAGCAGTCAATTAATTAGTTAATTAACTAATATTAATTAATTAATGAATAGCCTGTCTCGCCGCTCCAGAGCAGTCAGGTGCTCGCACGCACGCCGCAGCACCGTGCCGTACCTGCTGGCACAGTCCTCGCCACCACCGCCGCCTCTGCCGTCTGCTCCGGCGGTCGGGCGGAGGACGAGGGCGAGCGAGAATAAGAGCGCGTTGCGCTCCTACGGTGTCGACTCATCAGCGTCACGTCGAGTCATTAGCGTCAAGTGGAGTCATTAGCGTCAAGTGGAGTCATTAGCTTCAAGTGGAGTCAGTAGCTTCAAGTGGAGTCATCAGCGTCAGAGCAGCGGCCATGGCGAGCTAGGGGTGGGGGGAAGGGTCATTCGCCCTGGGACCCAGCGCTGACTCCTGACTGTCGTTGCGGTCTATCCCTGTCTCGACTGTCTGGGCTTGTGCGTCTTGGGTCCGTGGTTGTGTTTTGGGGGAAGGGCAGAGATCTCCCGCCATGCGACAGCAGCCTCCGTCACGAATGGGCTAGGGTCAGGGCCAGTCAGGGTTAGGGTCAGGGTGAGGGTGAGGGTCAGGGTCAGGGTCAGAGGTAGGGTGAGGGTGAGGGTGAGGGTGAGGGTGAGGGTGAGGGTGAGTAAGGGGTCGGAAGACCGACGTGAGGGCGTGCCGTCGGTAGTGCGCAGAGTCTTCAGAGCACCGTGTGAATGGGGAGCATTCGCATTCGCCTTCCTGGGACCCAGCGCTGACTTCTGACTGGGGGGTTGTGTTTTTGTGTGTGAATGGGGAGCGTCAAGTGGAGAGATCAGCGCATCAGCGCAAGCACGGGCCCAAGGTAGTTCAAGGCATCGGGAGAGTGCGGCGCGAGCACATCCACGAGAGATGCATCGTGTTCATGTGAGGTGTGGCTGGTGTCAGAGAGGTGTAGAGATATGAGCAGCGGGGGCCTAACGGGTCCGACTAGTCACCGGACACCAGGCGGTAGTGGGCAGAGGCGGTGGTCCGGCTACAGCTGACGTCGGACCGAGGTCTGTGTCTCCGCATCTAGCGTTGCGCTCGTACTGCGCGCCCTCGAGGCAGACCGGCCAGCAGAGGACGGAGCGGCTCGCGTCGCGCAGCACCAGCAGCTGATTGCACCTGCGAGGCCGCGGCGGCGGCGGAGGCGGTGGCGGCGGTGGCGGCGGCGGTAAACGTGGCGGTGGCAGTGGCGGCAGCGGCGGCGGAGCTGGTGGCATGCTGGCGATTGACGATGTGGTGGCAGTGTCGGCGAGGGCGGCGGCGGTGAAGGGCGAGGAGGCGGCGAGGCGTGGGCTGGTCAGAAACGGTGTGGCTGGCAGCGCACAGTTGCGGCTTCGGTATGAGCACGTCGCACACGGCGTCAAAGGCAGCGGTGGAGAGGTAGCCGGGCGGCTCCTGGAGCGAGAGTGTGCGGCCGAGCCGGTTGTCGAACTCGGCGAAGAGCAGCGCCTGCGGGGCGCTGTCCGTGCTTCTCACCATCGCGAACAAGAAAAACATCGATACTTGACCCAACATAGAGGGCGTTGTGTAGCCTAGCTTTTGGGTAATATAAAAAACATCGCCGGCTTGCAAGCAGTTCGAGAGTGTGTGTGTGGCGTCGCTACGCGCGGTCTTCCGCGGGGGGAGCGTCGTCGACGGGTGCGGGACCGCGGCGCAGCCAGTGCCGCGGCGATGCCTCCGGCCTCCGGCTGCTGAAGGGGTGGCTTGCTGGTCGCTGCAATGGCGAAGAACTCGTCTCGTCGCACACCAAGGGCTTACGAATAGCCTGTCTCGACGAGCTCTCGCTCGATTGCACTTCGACCTCTCGTTGCACAAAACCCATCTCTCAACACATCGGAACAGTGTGTTGTATATGCCGGCAATCGGATGAAGTGATTTCGCTTGCCGCTTCGCGAATAGCCCACGCAGCCACCCTCAACCTAGACGCCACGCATCTCTGGGACTTTGAGCACTTGGTCAGTTCACCTGTGTTGTCATCGCGCAGGGTTTGATGTCCCTAGGATGACGGGTGAGGACCTCTGTCTGGTGCGGCGTGGGGCAGGGCCCGGACTCAGCCGACTGCGCGTCCCGAGCCCACGGATCGGCGCCATCGCACAGGCCCGCCAGCCGCCGCATAGCTCCAGAGAGGCAGCTGGCGTTGCGCTGCACTGCTTGAAGGTGCTGCTGAGGCGCTGCACTGCTCAAAGCTGCCCCGTGCGCCGCCGCGAGCACCGCGTAGTGGTCTCGCCCTCTGGAGAGCCCCATTACGACCCCTCGCGGCCACTCGCGCCGTTGCAGCAGCTCCGACCCCGCCACTCCGGCTCCCGAGCGCGCGGCGAGCACGAGGAAGAGCATGCGCATGGGCCAAAATCCGTTACTCGCATCACTTGGGCACAATTGTTTTCTCCTTCCTCGAGACGATTACGCACGCTGGAGCGCTCGTCCCCGCGGGCAAGAGGCGATATACGGCGCTGCCTCTGCACCGCTACGCGATGACACAAGCGACGCAATCCCGGCGACATGCAGGCACCCAATGCTGTGCCGGAGGCTGACTGGTCGAGGCGGTCGACCTCGCCGTGGCTCTTCCACGCGCCGCCGCTTCTCGTGTGGACAGCTGGTTCGGCTCGGACGCAGTGGCCAAGAGGACCACCACATTCGCTGGCACACCGCGGCCGACGCTGTCTGCGCTCCCACGCAAGCGCCGGTACCAAATCGAATACATGCGTTACTGCGCTTACTGCGCGCACGCTCCGGCACATTGGTCTGCGCGAATTCGAGGCGCCGTGCGACGTTTGAGGCGGACAGCCCTAGGCGACACGGCGTCTGTGCTCGTGTTTATTGTGCTCGTGTTCAAGCAAGAAGCATCAGTGCGGGTACATGCGGTCCTACCACTGCACACAGTGCTTCCCGGACCCGAGCCAGGTTGGCTACGCGATCTGCAGCCCGGTCGGGACAAAAGCTGGCGACCCTCACCGGCTTTGCCAAGCACCTGCTCGAAGAGGAGCCGTCGCATCGGGCACAGCAGCGCCCCCCCGCCGCGACGCGGCGATCGTCCAACCATCGCCGTACCGGCGACCTGAGCCTGCGCCTGCGCCGGCAGCGGCGGCGCCGGCCGCCGCGGCGCCGGCAGCCGCAGTGCCCCGTGCGCCGCCGCATCATCTAGAGGTGAGACGGGGTGAGTGGCGAGTGTGCGGCGGCCGGAGGGCGCGTCAGACGACCGCGAGGGCGGCCCACATGCGGAGTGACTTTTAGAAGTCACCCCGTTTCGGGCGTCTCACCGGCGTACTTGAGGTGCTTCAGACGGACGCAGTGGGCTGTCGGCAAGGTAGGTGAGTGTCTAGGGGTCATCTCTAGGCTGGTTAGCCTTGATTTTGATCAAAGATCGGCGCAAGAAACGGTCGCGATGCCTCGTGTGAACGCTTTGAACAGTGACTTCTCGAAGTCACTCGGTCCTACGGAGAGACACCGTGTGAGGACCCCTCCGGAGTACGACTTATGGGCTCTACCTCTACACACGACAAGTGCGACTACACTCCGAGTCAGACCTCGGCTCGCCACTGGATGTCAGAATGATCTCACGATTACTCACGCGCACGACAAACATCAACTCTTTGATCGACTCAAGTTGTCAAGTAGAGGTCCTCATTGTCAGATTGAGAGGTCCTCACGGCGCAGTTCATGGAGCGACGATCCGCCGCAGCATGCGCTCGCCCCTAGCTACTACGCCGGCCCGCGTTGCATCCCCCTTCGGCTTCCTTGTTTTCCCCTTCTGTCCGAACCGCGGCTGCTTTGTTCGAGTAGCCAACATACATAGCCCGCCACCCCCCAACCAATGAATCGCGAGTAGACAGGTATATACACCTTGGGAAGGTGGTTTTGATACCTGGGAGGGAAGTGTGCGCGAGGAACGCATGCACCTTCAGGAACGCATGCACCTCCTTAGCCCTACGGTATTGTGGTAGTTCCTAGTTTACCTCTTTCCCAAGACACACAGCCAGCTGGCTGCCACACACCCTGAGTTGGCGTACACATAACTCAAGGCCACATCCTCCCTGTCGCCCCCCCCAGCACTCCAAGGTGCCAAGAGAAACAAACAAGGGCACAACAAACAACAGACGACAGGAAGTAGCTAGCCAACACACAGCCCGCCCTCCAAATTCACATTTTTTTGAAATTCGGCGGCAGCTGTCCCCCTCAGCACGGTGTGGTCGCCGATTGCTGGAAGGTGCCATGAAGCTCTGCTTGCTAATCGTCGGAGCTCTCGCGGCCAGCCATGCATTTAGCACGCCCGAGTCGGCGGCTGCGATGACGTCCGCGCCTGCCGAGAAAACTTTCGAGGCACTCGCCTTCGTTCCGAACGCGACAGCAATCGGCCTGGGCTTCGTCGAGTCGGCGCTCACCCAGGCCCAGGTCCACCTCGCATTGCAGCTCGGCAACCTTCTCTCCGTCAACGTCACCGCGTTCAAGGACGCGTGGTGCGAGGCCGTCATGCCTTTGATGGCCTTCAACCTCACCACGTTCACAGAGGCAATCAAAGACCACGTGCGAGGCAAGGTTATGGCGACGTTTGGCAAAGAGGCCATCGACGAAGATGGCGACATTGAATTCGACGAGGTCAAGGAGTCCATCAGCGCGGCGTTCCTCGAGGCCGAGCCACCTGCGCTCACCGACAACAACTCACCCACCGTGGCCGAGTACGGCGCGGATGGGGATGACCCACGCGACACGGCGCTCGTTCTTCCCGCGTGGACCCTGTGGGTGACCGTGACCGTACTCCCTGTCGCGCTCGCCGTCCGCGTCACGCGCGACTCGGCGATTCGCGCTTGGGCTGACCCAGCAGCCCCAGCGCAGATGGTCTGAGGGCCGAGGAAGGCGTTCTGCGCCCCTCTGCCGACGTGAGCTGTGGAGCTCTCAGGAGCCGGAGGAGTCTGTGCCCCTCGCGCCGCTGTAGTTGCGAGGTGTGTGAAGCTCACGCAGGTGACGTGCGTGCGAGTGTGCGGAGTGTGTCGTCTCGATTGTGGCCAAGAACTTGACTAGTTGCAAATACGGGTGGTGTGACGATGATGAATTTTGATGTTGTTTTGTCCGTGTTGCTCCCAGCGCCCTCGCCCGCGCTCCCTGAGACGGCGGCGGTGACGGTGACGGGTGAGCCGGGGACTGGCATTTCTTTGTTTTCCGGTCGCGCTTGCCGGGACCGATTCTTCTTCTTCTTCTGCCGATTGCTGTGGTCGCTGCTGTCGCTGCTCATGTGCAAGCCGCGAGGTGTGTAGCCAGCCAGATCCAGCTGCGCAACGCGAGGCAGCGGAGCGAGCGAAGCGCCAGGACGCGCCCGTCCCTTTGTAACGCTTCACGCGCGTCGCTGAGGCGTGCTGTGAAGCTCTCGCGTGATCGCGAGCATCGCACAACATCGCCATTTATCGCATTTTATCGCCAAATATCGCGGGTATCGCGGTTGCGATATTGTGAAAGAGTTCCTCTAGAGAGAGAGCTCAGGGCTTGGGTATCTTGTTCTTGAGCGGCTTCGCAATACGGCTTTTGTTTTGTATTATACAGCCCCGTGACGCGTACTGACGTACGCACACACCTCCGCGCGCGCGGCCGCGCGGGTCAGCAGACAGCACATCGCAATCGAGATTCGTGGCAACTGCGGACGATTACCTAGATATCTCTGCATCATCACGCCCACACCGGACGGAGAGGACGAGCAAGGCCAGCGCACGGCCACGGGCGCGCGCTGTGGGGCCAGACTCAACGCACGTACGTCCCGAAGCATGCAGCTCCTCGCGAGGGGCTGCGCGTACGCCGGGGTGCATGAATGCACGCCGGGCAGTGGACACACGCATCCATGAAGAGAGGCCGCCCTCCGGAGGCCCTCACTGCGAGCCCCCGAATGCGTAGTAACAAAAGGTCGCCAGCGGGTGGGACTTGGACTGAGGCGGCTCCGAGGCGAGCGAGCGAGCAACCGGCTCGCTCGCCGCCTCCGCGTCGCCGGCGGTGCGCGTGTTCTTGGGCGGCCCGCCTCCGGCCGGCTTGTGGTAGTCGAGGAAGGCACCCACCACGATCGAGATGACGGCGACGGCGTGCTCCTCGCCCGGGCACTGCCGCGGCGCGGGGGGCTGCTCGTTCTCCCACCCCCGCCCAAAGGGCACCTTGGTGATGAGGTCGTGGACTGGCTCAATAAGTCGCACGAGGGTGACTCGGTAAGACGTTTTCGGCTCGGGAGAGGTTGTAGAGGGCGGCTCCCATCCCCCAAGCACCAGTAGCGATTCGAGACTTACCACATAGGGTTTGATCCTAGTGATCTACACATCTACTCGTCCGCACTATGGCATTATCGTGCAGGGCGGGGACACATGTCCTTGAATCCCAGCTCGTCTCAGAGTTTGACCCTTTTATTTATTTATTTACTATGGCCGGTGTGTGCCGCGGCCGCTCTGCAGGCGCCGTCGTCGAGGACCTCCCGCGCGATTGCCGTCTGCGCGCTCACCAGGGCAAGGTCCTTGTGCACTATGGGAGGGAACGGGTCGCTCCGTGTCATCGACCAGACGTCAAGCTCGATGACCCAATCGGGCAATACCTCGAGCGCCACCGCATCGTACAACGCTTTGCGGAGGTTGAGGTCGAACCCCATCCCCGCCTCCGGGGTTATAGGCGTGAGCGTATCGGTGGCCAACGCGTGGCCCGTCTTGTAGAGCACGATCACATCGGGCCGCCGTGCACGCAAGGCCTCGAGCGCCTCGGCCAGCCGCACCATCGCCTCGTGAAAGCTCGCGAGCGGCAGGGTCACCCAATGGTGGACAAATGAGATCGCGATCAGCCGAGGCGGCACTGCCTCACCCGCGGCTCTTTCGAGGAAGGCGGCCTCGAAGCCTGCGAGTGTGAGAGGCGCGCGGATCTCCGGACGAGCGAGGGCGAGCGCGGTGGAGGCGAAGTAGAGACCGCGGGTCGTCATGATCGGAAATGAGTGGAACGCGCCCTCCAGCGCGGGGAGGTGGCTGGGAGGCGTCGCGGTGCCGGACGCTTGCACATTTGGACGGCCGGGCCGCTTCAGTTTGTGCCACTGGCCGAGCGTGGAGTCGCCGAGCCTCAGCACCCGAGCCTCGGTCGCTGGACGGCACGCGGCTGGGGTCAGCTCGCACGCATGATACTTCCACTCCCAGCTCGTGACCCCCCCGGATCGCGCCACCGCCCAGTACCCCTCCTGCGTGCGGAGCACATCTGCCGCAGTGCACGCCCGCCGGCCCACGCTGGCGCTGCTCGCGTGCCGATGGGCCTGCTCTGCGGCCTCCACCCAGACAGTCGGCATGGAGCGCTCGCGGCCGATGCAGCAGCTCAGCAGTGCGCGGCGGACTCGGTGAAGGAGAGGCCCTGCATCATCGAGCACCCGGAAGCTGACCGCGGGGAGGACTGCGGAGGGTGCCCACTCCCCTTTCGGTCCGGCCGCGTTGTTCCGAGGGCGGATCCAACGCTCGCTTGCAACGGCGTGAGTCGAGACGTTGCGGCAAGTCTCCTCGTTCCGGACGAAGCACCACATCGACAGCGGCTGCTGCGGTCCGCCAACCTCCCGAAAGACGTCGCATGCCACCGCGGCGGTGGCGTTGGCATCACTGACGCGCCGCTCGGCTCCAGAAGAAGACTCCAGCGTGCCTTGTGCGAAGAGCTCCTGCGGCAGGCGTGCGTCGGCCGGTGCGCGCACCGTCAACCCACCGTGTCGACCCCGGTCGTTGGCACGCCTCGCACGCCGCACGCTGCACATCAATTCTCGGTGGTCGGGCGTCTTGACGACGGCGGAAGCGAACGAGCGGTTGGCGTCGCGGACAGCCCGCCACACCATCAGCGCGTGAGCGATCGCTGGATAGGCCTGCGTGACACGCAGTCGTGCGTCGCGACCAGTCATCTCACGAGGCGGCACCAGTGTGGCCGTGTGCGTCCCATCGCCGTGGTCCACGGCCTGTGCGGCGACCCGCGCAGTATCGCTGACAAGCGCGACCTCAAAGGAGTCTCCGCCGACGTCTAGCCTTTGTCCGCGCGCCGTTCTCGCCGTGATATTGATCACGAGAGGTCGGCCGGCGCGCGGTCGTCCGTGGACTCGGATTGTCGCCGCCTCAGCGCGTGACAGGCCGGCAACAAAGGGGCAATTCTCGGGCGAGGCGGTGTCCAGCATTTTGCGCCACGCGGCGACCGACGAACCCGGCTGCAGCATGGCTCCGCAGCGATCGAGCTGGGCTTGCTGCAAGGCGGTCAACGCTGTAGCTTGAAGTCGCGCCAGCCGCGTTGGACCCGCGGCTGTGCGATGGTGTGCGAGCCGACGGCCAGCACAGGTGGGGGTGGTACTGCTGCAGTTGGGCTTCTCCTGGAAGGCAACTTTGCCGTCGCACCGACAGCTGTAAGCGACCATGCCAGGAGGATAGCCGCAGCGGAACGGGCCACCGCCGGGTCCGCAACTGAATTCGCCTCGACAACCGCGAGTCCAGATTTCGCGGTCGCTGAAGCAGCCGAAGCTGCGACCACGCACGCACTGCGCGCGACTGTCCTGCCGTATGAGCTCAACGAGGCAGCGTGCTGACGGCGACGACGTCGACGGAGGACTACTTGGCAGCATTCCTGTGGCTGTGAATCGTCCTCAGCCACAGCCACAGGAATGCCACAGAGCCAGGAATGCGATCGTCGGCAAGAGAGAATCTTGCAAGGGAGAATTCAACAAAATCGCCGCCTCGCCGCTCCCCTGCCCGCTCGCACCCGACTTTCTACCTCCTCGTGATCCAACCCGCCACCCCCCTCGCCCGTCACCCTCCCGCCGCCTCGCCGCTACCTCGCCCGCTCGCGCCCGACTTTCTACCTCCTCGTGATCCAACCCGCCACCCCCCTCGCCCGTCACCCTCCCGCAGCCTCGCCGCTCCCCTGCCCGCTCGCGCCCGACTTTCTACCTCCTCGTGATCCAACCCGCCACCCCCCTCGCCCGTCACCCTCCCGCCGCCTCGCCGCTACCTCGCCCGCTCTCGCGCCCGACTTTCTACCTCCTCGTGATCCAACCCGCCACCCCCCTCGCCCGTCACCCTCCCGCAGCCTCGCCGCTCCCCTGCCCGCTCGCGCCCGACTTTCTGCCTCCTCGTGATCCAACCCGCCACCCCCCTCGCCCGTCGCCCTCCCGCCGCCTCGCCGCTACCTCGCCCGCTCGCGCCCGACTTTCTACCTCCTCGTGCAACACCCCGCCACCTCACCCTCCCGCCGCCCCGCTGCTCGCTTGCCCGCTCTGCCCAGCCGACCGACGCCCCGCCATCCGTTGCCGTTATGCCGCCGCTCCTTACTGTCCGCCGTGCCGTCGTTCTTTACCATACCGCGCCGCCTTTCCATACTTCCTGCTTCGACGGGGTTTGTGTTGAGGAGTGACCCGTGCCGCCGTGTGCCCCGCAGCGGCCTCGCTGGGCCAGAAAATCGGCCCCGAGTGCCAGCAGCAGCCTCGTTGAGCCAGAACGTCGGCTCGCGAGGTGGGTGCTAGTATGAGCCCGATCCGTCGCAGTGCTCTTGCAGAGGCGGTTAGTGGTGCACTAACCCCGAGAAACCCTTCGGGTCACTCCTCATCGCAAACCCTGTCAGCAGTCCTCCTCCGGGAATGTACGTAAGAGCCACATACATGGAAAAAAAGAACTACTTTCCGGTTAGCAAGGGAGAAAGAAAAATGTTAGCCTGCTTAAGATCCTTCGTGTCCTTCTCCCACCCCTCGTTTGGTGTGTCCGTTTTAAATATTTATCCGAGGGATTTCCCCTCATGAGGCGGTTTCGCGTGACCGCCGCTGCGCGCAGAGATTGATTGATTGATTGAGAGAGAGAGATTTTTATTAACCAACAAGAAATCACTCTGCTTGATTGATGGGAAGGCGAAGCACAGTCCGACCAACGACTGGGACACCAACGCGGTATGGGTGGACGCAAGACGGGCGAAGACGGTCACACAGGAGCGAACTTCCCTAGTCACCCGCGGCCGGACTCCATCCGATAGAGATGGGTGGCGCCCCGCTTCGAAACGCCCGCTATCTTGAAAAAGAATTCTTAAAATACAAGCCTCTCTCACAGCACAAAAGAATTTAAACAAAACAACTCTGTCTCACAGCTCGACAGGTGCACAAAAGAATTTTACTATACAAGCCCCTCTCACAGCAGACTGGCTCGGACTGGCACTACAAATGGCACAGCAGGCGACGGCCCCTTACGGGTCGTCAAAGAGGCCGGCGTACTCCTCCGGCCGCTCCTCCCCCTCCCAATCCTCCCCGGGCTCTGGCTCCTCCTCCTTCGCCCGCGCCCTCGCCCCCCGCCGGCGGCGATTCCGTGCGGCCGTCGCCCCCTCCCCCTCCCCGCCCCCATCACGGCCGGAGCCGTACCACCCAGCGCGCACGAGGAACGAGGACTGAGCCTCAACCTCGTCCAACCTCACCGCCCTCACGGCGGCGTCGCACGCCTCAGCCCGCGAAGCGCCAGCAGCATGCGCCGCGGCGTACGCCGCGTCGCCTACCGCCTGCCTCGCGAGAGACGCGGCGCGCCACTCGTCCTCCAGCGCCGCCGAGCCCCACACAGGGTCTCCCGCAGACCGGTCCGAGTCGCCGTCCGAGCTTAGCTCGCCCTCGCCCTCGCCCTCGCCTCGCGCCTCGCCGCTCCCATCCTGCGGCTGCGCCACGCCCCGCGCCTCGCAGCAGCCCCATCCTTGGCAGAGCCCGCCGCACATGCCATGCGCGACGTATGCCTGGCGCAGGCCAGGCACCCCCCACCGATCGTCAGCACAAAAGAAATGTCCGTGCGCTGCTCGGCCAGCGCGTCGTGCTTGGCGGGCTCTCCTCCCGCCCCGAGCTGAACGGGCGGTGGGGCGTGGCGCGGAGCGAGGGCGGGCGGTACGCGGTGGCGCTCGAGGGCGGCGGTGAGAGCGTGCGAGTGCGGCCGGGCAATCTGTCGATGGCGGCGGTGTCAGGCGGTGCCGCGGCAGCCCCCGACGCGGTCGTGACAGCGGTTGGGCGAGGCGACGAGGAGGCGGTGCTGGCGTGGCTCGAGGGCGGCGGGCGGGTCAACGCGACGTACGAGAGAGGCCAGGTGCGGGGCATCACGCTGCTGATGGGCGCCGCCGCCAACGGCCACGAGCGGGTGGTCGAGTTGCTGCTGCAGCACGACGCGGAGATCAACCTGCAGAGCAACGAAGGCTTCACCGCGCTGATGTCCGCCGCCATCCAAGGCCACGAGCGGGTGGTCGACCTGCTGATTCGGCGCGGCGCGGAGGTCAACCTGCAGGACAACCGCAGCAACACCGCGCTGACGCTCGCCGCCCTCTTCAACCGCCCCGCCGTCGTGCGGCGCTTGCTGCGGGCGGGCGCAGACGCGACGGCGCGCAATGTGAACGGCAAGACGGCGCTGCAGAAGGCCAAGGAGAAGGGCCACGCCGCGTGCGTCAAGATCTTGACTGAGGCAGCGGCGGCGGCTGCGGAGGGCCGGGTCTTCGAGGGCGGGCGGTACGCGGTGGCGCTCGAGGGCGGCGGCGAGAGCGTGCGAGTGCGGCCGGGTAATCTGTCGCTGGCGGCGGCGGAGCAGGCGCCAAGCGGTGGCGTGGCAGTCTCCAACGAGGTCATCGCAGCGGCTGAGCAAGGCGAGGAGGAGGCGGTGCTGGCGTGGCTCGAGGACGGCGGGCAGGTCGACGCGACGTACAAGAAAGGCGAGGTGAGCGGCCTCACGCTGCTGATTGGCGCCGCCGCCAACGGCCGCGAGCGGGTGGTCGACAGGCTGCTACAGCGCGGCGCTGATGTCAACCTGCAGGATAGCGACGGCGGCACCGCGCTGATGGCCGCCGCCTACTGGAACCGCCCCGCCGTCGTGCGGCGCTTGCTGCGGGCGGGCGCAGACGCGGCGCCTACTGTTGAAGGCAAGACGGCGCTGCAGCTTGCCAAGGAGAAGGGCAACGCCGAGTGCGTCAAGATCCTGACTGAGGCAGCGGCGGCGGCTGCGGAGGGCCGGGTAGGGGCCGATTGCGCTTCTTCAGGCGCGGCAGCGGCAGCTGAGGACGCGCCGCTCCTCGGCCAGCGAGTCGTGCTCGGCGGGCTCTCCTCCCGCCCCGAGCTGAACGGGCGGTGTGGCGTGGCGGGGAGCTTCGAGGGCGGGCGGTACGCTGTGGCGCTCGAGGGCGGCGGCGAGAGCGTGCGAGTGCGGCCGGGCAATCTGTCGATGGCGGCGGCGGAGCCGGTGTCAGGCGGTGCCGCGGCAGCCCCCGACGCGGTCGTGACAGCGGCTGAGCGAGGCGAGGAGGAGGCGGTGCTGGCGTGGCTTGACGGTGGCGGGCGGGTCAACGCGACGTACGAGAGAGGCGAGACTAGCGGCCTCACGCTGCTGATGGGCGCCGCCGCCAACGGCCGCGAGCGGCTGGTCGAGTTGCTGCTGCAGCACGACGCGGAGATCAACCTGCAGAGCAACGACGGCGACACCGCGCTGATGGCCGCCGCCTACAACGGCCACGAGCAGGTGGTCGAGCTGCTGCTGCGGCACGGCGCTGATGTCGACAAGCAGAACAGCAGCGGCGGCACCGCGCTGATGCTCGCCGCCTTCTTCAACCACCCCGCCGTCGTGCGGCGCTTGCTGCGGGCGGGCGCAGACACAGCGCGCACTGTTGACGGCGAGACGGCGCTTCAGTGGGCCGAGGAGAAGGGCCACGCCGAGTGCGTGCGCGCCCTCGAGGAGCACTCGTCGACCGCAGCAGAGGCTGAGGGGGAGACAGCGATCGCAGAATCAGCCGAACAGGCCGCGGCGGCCGCACGCGAGGCGTCAGCGGCTGCGGAGGCGGCGGAGGCGGCGGAGGCGGCGGAGGCGCGCGATGCTGCCGAGGCGGCGCTGCGCGAGGCGGTTGAGGCGTGCGAGCGAGGCGACGCCGATCTCGAGGCGCTCAGGGCGGCGATCAACGCGAACACCGACGCCGCCGACGGCTCGGAGGCGCTGCGGGCGGCGCGGCGGTTGCGCGACGAGCTGGCGGAGCGCAGGACCCGCGAGGCCAGGGCGCTGAAGCGGCAGCGGCAGAAGGAGGAAAAGGCGGCGGCGAGGCAGGCGGCGGAGGCAGCGAGGGCGGCGGAGGAGGCGGATGCGGCGGCGCGGGCGGCGGAGGAGGTGGAGGCCGCGTCGCGGGCAAGGGAGGAGGCAGAGGCGAGGGCAAGGGAGGAGGCTGCAAGGGAGAGAGAAGAGGCGAGGATGAGGGCGGAAGCGGAGGCGGCGGAGGTGGCGGCGGCGGCGGCGGAGGCGGAGGCGGCGGCGGCGGAGGCGGAGGCGGCGGCTGTAGAGGCGGCAGTGGCGGCCGTGGCGGCGGCGGAGGCTCGAGAGGCAGCGGAGGCGGAGGCAGCGGCAGCGGCGGCAGCGGAGGCGGCGGCGGAGGCGGCGGCGGCAGCGGAGGCGGCGGCGAGTGTCGCCGCCCTCGCCACCGCCGCCACACCGCCCGCCGCCGTCCCTCTCGACGAGCTCATCGCGGCGACCGACGGCTTTGCCGAGGCGCGCAAGGTGGGCGAGGGAGGCTTTGGGCGCGTCTACCGCGCCGACGCGCTGCCGTCGCTTCCGCGCGTCGCTTGCGGGTTCGCGGTCAAGACGGCGCTGGTCGGTGTCGGCGCCCAAGGCCTCGCCGAGCTGCAGAGCGAGGTGCGCACGCTCAGCGCGGCGTGCCACCCGTCCCTGCTTCCTCTGCTCGGCGTCTGTTTGGCGCCGTCGAGAGCGTGCCTCGTCTACCCCCTCTGCCGCGGCGGCAGCCTCGAGGACCGCCTCTACCGCTCGCCAGCCGCGCTGCAGCGGCTCCGCATGCTCGGCTTCGAGACGGCGCCACCGCCGCTCTCCTCCGCCGCACGGCTCCGCGTGCTGCGCGACGCCGCGAGAGCGCTGCACTACCTGCACACGCTCTCGCCCATGATCCTGCACCGCGACGTCTCGGCGGGCAACATCCTACTCGACGAGCGCGGCAACGGCTACCTCGCTGACGTGGGCCTCGCGCGAGCGGCAGAGGCGACGGCCGGCGCACAGGTCTCGCACCTGTCGACGCAGCGCATCTTTGGCAAGCCTGGGTACATGGACCCGATCATCCTCAACGACGGTCAGGCTTCGCAACTCACCGACGGCTTTGCGCTCGGCATCACGCTGCTCGTCGCCCTGACCGGCCGCGGCGCTCTTGGCTTGCTCAGTGCGTGCGACGATGCGCTGGAGGAGCCCGACACGGCGGAGAGCATCGCGGCGGCCGACGCGGGTTGGTCGGCGGCGCAGGCCGAGGAGCTGGCGCGGCTCGTGGTCGGGCTGGCGTTCGTTCGGAAGAAGAAGCGGATGCCGCTCGCAGAGGCGCTGCCGCGGCTGGAGGCGCTGGTCGAGGCGGCGGGGGCGGTGGAGGAGACGGCTGGGGCCGAGGAGCGCCAGTGCGACCTCTGCTACGACGCGCCTCGCTCGGTTCGCTTCGCGTGCGGCCACGCGCTCTACTGCGAGGCATGTGCGCCGCGCGTGCTGGAGCGCGACACCAACTGCCCGGCCTGCCGCCGTCCGGCGCTGCCGATCGTCGACACTGGAGCAGGCGTGGCGGCGCAGACGACCTTTGTCTACCAGTCTCCTCGCGCGGTGCCGAACCCTCCGCCGGCCGGCGGCGCTGTGCCGGCAGTCGGTAGGCGCGGACGCGGCGGACGCGGCGGGCGGGGCGGGAGGGGCGGGCGGGGCATGGGGCGGGTCGGCTGGTAAACCTAGAATAGCGCCACAATTGCGTGTATTGGTAATACAATGTACTGAGTAAGGACGTCGTACCCGCTTGCATGCCCGCTGTGACATCACTGGCGGCGCGGAGCGTGACGAACGGTGTCGTAGATTGGGGAGAGGCTAGAGCCGCGTACTGCCGTACAGACGGGGGAGCGTCGTCGACGGGTGCGGGACCGCGGCGCAGCCAGTGCCGCGGCGATGCCTCCGGCTGCTTGCGGCGGGTGGCTTGCTGCTCGCTGCGATGGCGAAGAACTCGTCTCGTCGCACACCAACCAAGGGCTTACGCTCTGGCGAGACTGAGAGGCGCATGTATGATGTATCTTATTCGGACCCCCCCCTTGGCGCCTTGTGATTTTCGAGCGAAGATTTCGAGATCTGCCCGCCGTCCTCCGCTCAGCGCCGGCCGCCCATGCGCTCGCGGGGCTGGCCGACGGCGCGGGCCTCTTGCCGATGGACCCAGCCGAGGTGCCCAACCAGTCGGAGCCGCGTCTAGGGTACCATACTTCCGGGCGGTTGTGCGGGGAGCGAACCTTAACGACCGCCCAGAAGCTTTCTGAGCGAACCAATCGGGCCAGGATCATCAGCATATGTCCCCTCCACAACATCGTGGGCGTTTGAGCGGTATTTGAGGAGCACCGCGACTCTGAAGTTCGGCCGGGTGGTCTGCAGACCCCCCCCCCCGGAGCAGCAGAGGCTCCGTGGGGTCGAAAAGTCGACGCTGGGAGTCGCACTCGTCAAACCGTCGCAACACCACGCGGTACGCACGTACCGCCCACATCCCCTCCACCGCTGAGAAGGCGCAGATCGACCGCCGGGCCGCGTAGCCGTCGTTAAGGAGCGGTTTTTGGAGCCGTACGAAGAGGTCCCAGACGGGCGAAGATGCGGTTTTGCGAGGGGCGGTGCGTCGCGTGACGCACGTACTCGACCACCGGCGCGAAGAAGGCGAGCTCGCGCAGCGTCTCGGCGCAGGCGATCATCGAGCGAGCGAGCGCCTCGGGCGAGGCGGCGTCGAGCGCGAAGGCGTTGCAGAGCCGCTCTCGCCAGCTGCGCCCGTGAGCACGAGCGCGACGACCGACGCCGCACGCTCGAGCGGGTCCCTCAGCGAGCAGGCGGTGTGCGTCGCGCCGGGGCGGGGGTGCCGTGCGGCGCGTGCAGCAGCCCTGCGCGCAGCTCGACCAGCTTCGGGAGCTCTCCTCGAACGAGTCGTCCGAGGGCGCGGACAGGCGAAAACTTGCATCTCCGCGCGCTGGTCGACAGCAAACGGGGCAACGTGTGGCCGTCAGCTGTGGCCGTCAGCCCTCGTGAACGCCCGTTTGCCGTCAACTGGGCAAGCAGCACTAGGCTACGGATCCACCCGAACCCTGCAAAAATACTGCGGAACAGCAACGGTCCCAAAGTTCCCCTAAAATTTGTCGCGTATGAAGACCACTGTGAAGAGAGAGAATCTTGCCCGACGCCTCGCGCGCGGGAAAGCTCGGCGAGTCGACTTGCGAGCCTTCCCGCTGCTAAGGTAGTACGTATGTAATGCGGCCCTCCTCGGCGGCGCGGCGGGGAAACTCTCCGACTTCATCCGATGCTCCCGGCGCCGCGCGGCCTCGGCGACACCGCGAGAGGCCGCCTCTCAAGCAGCTCAAGCAGCTCGACCTCTTCGGCAACGACGTGGCGGATGACAACAACCCAATTTTGACCATCGCGAGCGAGCGCTTGCGCGTCCTCGAGGACCTTCTCTCGCATGACCAGTGGGATCCGGTGGATGGGCGCGAAGAGCTGTGGCGGGAGGTGGACGGCATGCTGACAAGGTATCGCGGGTACCGCACGGTACTCCGAGTGCCCGCTCGCCCGGAGCAGCTCGTGCCATTCAGACGCAATCACATGACCCTGACGTTGAGGCCCGCAATCGACATGCTCGACCTCGAGGGCATACAATGCTTGCTCGATGCGCGTGCAGACATAAACGCGTGCTTCGCTACCGAGGATTATTCGGGGTGCACGCCGCTCACTTACGCCGTGCTACGCGGAGATACCGCCACCGTACGTCTGCTGCTGCGCCGCGGAGCGGATGTCAATCGCAAGGACGACGACAACTATGCGCCGCTGCACTGTGCCGAAAGCGCTGCGCACGTTCGCATGCTACTCGCTGCTCACGCAGATGTGAATATCATCGGGCCTGAACACAAGTCGCCACTGCACATGGTGCGTGGCCCAGAGACCATACAGGTATTGCTCGCTGCAGGCGCGAGAATGGAAGCAAAAGATGGCAATGGTGAAACACCACTCATGGTTGCCGTGTGCGAAGGCGTCGACGCGCTTGGTGATGTGCGTTGTCTGCTTGAAGCCGGTGCAGACGTGCATGCGGGTAACGCGAGTGGTGAGACGCCTCTCTACGAAGCACTTTCCTTCAACTACAGGGCATGGGGGCGGTGGCAATATCGCGCTGCTTTTGACGTTTCCAACGGCGTGGCGATGGTTCAGCTACTGTGCGCACACGGCGCTGACAAGTCGCAGGTCGAGCTTCACACACGCTCCATATTGAACCCTGACATGACATGGAACTTTCCGGGCCGTGCTGCGGCTCAGGCTGCGCTCCGCGAGTGGTTCACGACGAGCGAGCACTGGCGCACTCCGCTACACCACTTTGACATCCTTGGCGCCCCACACGTGCGCAAGCTCCTCCGCGACCCGTGGACGCTGCACGAGCCGCCGGCGGACCCCACGTCTTCGGGCGTGCTCAAGCCGCTCGATCTCGCCCTCTCGAAGCCGGAGGGTGCGCGTAGCGACGCCGCGTGCCTCATCGTGCGCGCGGCGGCGAGGTGGAGCCCTCTGAGCCACGACGTCTATCCGGCGGACGCGCGGCGCCTCGCGGTGCTCCTCGCGCCCATCGGCTACCACCTCGAGTACCACCGCGGCTTCCGCGGCCTCGGCGAGGTGTGGGTACGGCACGTGCTGCCGTGGGTGGTCTCACGCGCAAGCCGCCGGCCGCTCGGCGTCGCCGACGTGCTCGCCATGCGAGGTCCGCAGCTCGCCGACGAGCTCCGCTTCCGTCGGCTCGAGAGGCCCGCAACCAAGTCGGCCATGGTCGGCGCGTTGCTCGAGGCCATCGGGGCGATTGCCAGGGACCCTGACTCTGAGTCAGAGTCGGGCAGTGCGGAGGACGAAGAGTGACCTTTTCGTCATGATTTCGTTTGTCGACTCTTACAGCTACAGCTGTCGGACCCGAGGCGAGAGGACTCGGCGAGAGCATCGCGTCGCCGTGTCGGTCGGGTGGGCTCGGTCGGCGCAAATTCCTTTTCCTTTTTTTATGGACCTCGTTCGATCGGCCGGATCGGTAGCCCGGTCGAACACCCCCCAAACAAATAAATTCCCCCTGCGAGCTGAGAGGTTTTGAGATTTCGCTCCCGCGCAAGAGTGTCATCTTCGCAACGATGGTGCCAACGGCGAAAAAGCGCCGGTGAGCAAGGACGAGATGGAGGTGCGTCTTTCCCATGCTCGCGCGCCCCCCGCGCGCGAACTATGCACACGGGCCCGGCTCGCCCGCTTGGGGGTCCACCCGGCACACCCCCGCCCCCTCGTTCGAGTAGCCAACACATAGATAGCTCGCCCTCCAACCAATTGAATCGAGTACGAGTAGATAGTTAGGTACCATGGGAAGGTGATTGTATGTACCTGGGATGTTGAAGGTGCGATGAAGCAGCAGCTGCTTCGTTCGAGAGAGAGAGACACTCTTTCTCGTTCGAGTAGCTAGCCAACACATAGCCCGCCCTCCCCCAAGCCCAACCAATGAATCGCGAGTATACCATGGGAAGGTGATTTGATACCTGGGAGGGAAGTGATCCTCCTTAGCCTACGGTATTGTCGTCGTCGTTGTTTTTTCTCTTTTCTCCGAAACTCGGCGGCACCTGTCCCCCTCAGGCCGCGGTGGTCGCCGATTGCTGGAAGGTGCCATGAAGCCCTGCCTGCTAATCGTCGGAGCTCTCGCGGCCAGCCATGCGTTTAGCACGCCCGAGTCGGCGGCTGCGATGGTCGCGCCTGCCGAGAAAAGTTTCGAGGCACTCGCCTTCGTTCCGAACGCGACAGCAATCGGCCTGGGCTTCGTCGAGTCGGCGCTCACCCAGGCCCAGGCCCACCTCGCACTGCAGCTCGGCAACCTTCTCTCCGTCAACGTCACCGCGTTCACGGACGCGTGGTGCGAAGCCGTCCTGCCTTTGATGGCCTTCAACCTCACCACGTTCACAGAGGCAATCAAAGACCACGTGCGAGGCAAGGTTATGGCGACGTTTGGCAAAGAGGCCATCGACGAAGATGGCGACATTGAATTCGACGAGGTCAAGGAGTCCATCAGCGCGGCGTTCCTCGAGGCCGAGCCACCTGCGCTCACCGACAACAACTCACCCACCGTGGCCGAGTACGGCGCGGATGGGGATGACCCACGCGACACGGCGCTCGTTCTTCCCGCGTGGACCCTGTGGGTGACCGTGACCGTCCTCCCTGTCGCGCTCGCCGTCCGCGTCACGCGCGACTCGGCGATTCGCGCTTCGGCTGACCCACCAGCCCCAGCGCAGATGGTCTGAGGGCCGAGGAAGGCGTTCTGCGCCCCTCTGCCGACGTGAGCTGTGAGCTCTCAGGAGCAGGAGGAGTCTGTGCCCCTCGCGCCGCTGTAGTTGCGAGGTGTGTGACGTTCACGCAGGTGACGTGCGTGCGAATGTTTGGAGTGTGTCGTCTCGATTATTATTGTCGGCTGCCTGGGCGTGGTGCGTGGCATTGAGCTGGGACTACTGGCTCCGAGCGGTTCGTCGGTCCGGCGACTGTGTCCGACGACCGGCGCTGCGGCGGCCGGTGCGGGCCCCCGACGTGTGAGGGCCACTTTGTGCGGGACCTGCGCTTTCTGAGAGTTGTGGTCGAGACACAAAACGGAACCGTCCTGAGGAGACATTACAACCGCGCACACGGCACACCACCGCGCGCGTTTAAACATGGAGGGCCGTGCCGCACACAACTGCTCGACGCGGCACATTTCACACATGATCAACACTCAACCCGGCGTTTCCCACGAACGCTCCCGCCTACACCGACTATGCGCATGCACGCGCGCCACCACGCGCGCCACCAACCCATTGCGCCCTCTCCACGAGGGCATCTCTGGGCTCCGGCGGGCGCCTGGCGCAAGCCCACTGCGCCGCGACACCTACAAGGACGTGTCTCGGACATGTCGTGGACGTGTCCCGGACAAGTGTCCCGCCGGCTCCCTGTGCCGCGCCGCCTCTAGCGACACCGCCACTGGCTGGACTCCAACAGCTCATATCGGCCGCAACCCCCGCTCGGACGCGGCGGCGGCTGCGGGGGAGGCGGCAGCGGCGGCGGGCGCGGCGGCAGCGGCGGCGGAAGCGGCGGCGGAGGCGGCGGGGGCTGTGGCGGCGGAGGCGGAGGCGGCGGGGGAGGCGACGCCGCGCGAGCTGCGGTAGTCGACGATCGCGTCCGTGAGGAAAATCGTCATGCCGATGGGGGCGGCGACGGCGACGAGGTTGCGCGCCATGCCCCGCCTAATCTCGGCGTGCAGCTCGGGTGATCTCGGGCAATCTCGGCGGCGAGGTCGCGCGCCATGCCTCGCCACCATCGCGGCCGGCCGACACCTCGGCTGCCTCTCGGCTGCCTCTCGGCTGCCTCTCGGCTGCCTCTCGGCTGCCCCTCGGCTGCCCCTCGGCTGCCCCTCGGCTGCCCCTCGGCTGCCCCTCGGCTGCCCCTCGGCTGCCCCTCGGCTGCCCCTCGGCTGCCCCTCGGCTGCCCCTCGGCTGCCCCTCGGCTGCCCCTCGGCTGCCTCTCCGCTGCCTCTCGGCTGAATCTCGGCTAGATCTCGCCACAAGAAAGACGCGCCCTCGCGACGCAGCAACCGACGCGTCGTCTCGCCGAGCGCCTGACCAGAACAAATCTCGGCTAGATCTCGACTCGATCTCGACTGCATCTCGACTGTATCTCGGCGACATCCCGGCGGCATCTCGACGGCATCTCGACGGCATCTCGACGACAACATGGGAACATCTCGACGGCCGGCGGCATCCCCCATATCTCCCCATATCTCCCCATATCTCCCCATATCTCCCCATATCTCCCCATATCTCCCCATATCTCCCCATCCCGCGCCTCATCCGTCTTGAACATCTCGTTTCGAATCACGTCCAGGGGGTTAGTCAGCGCGGCGCCTGGCGGCACCTCTCATTATTCTTCATGATTCTTCATGATTCTTCATTGTTAGTAACTCCTAGTCGGCGCGGCGCCTGGCAGTTCGCATTAAACCGTTCTCACCGACCACTCAAATTAAGTGCCACGGTTCGTTAACAGCGCGGCGCCGGCGACGCCCGCAGCAATCGACTTGACCGCCGACGCCTGGACGAGATTAGCCGAGATCTCGCCGAGATGTCGCCGAGATGTCGCCGAGATCTCGCCGAAATCTCGCCGAAATCTCGCCGAGATGTCGCCGAGATGTCGCCGCGATGTCGCCGAGATGTCGCCGAGATCGGCTTGACAGCCGCCGCCCGGGACAACGGGATCGAGCTGCTGCTGCTGGCCTTGTCCGGTGGCGCGGGGGTGACGCTCCGTGGGCGCGGGAGTGACGCAACTACTTGTTGGGCATGCGCGCGCCTGGAGGACCTGTGACCTGTGGCCGGGCGCGCCGGGCGGCGCCGTCGGCTTCGGCAGCAGCTCTTGCATCGCGTCCTTCACCTAATTCATCACGGGCGACGCGTCGCAGTTGATGGTTCGCAGAAGCGGCCTCCTGCCCCGCGCCCTGCCACACACCCAGATCGCCACGACATACTTCGGCACCGTCTTTGCCACCGCGGGAACCGTGCCTAGGGGTTTGGGGGTCGGCGTTGGGGAATGGGGCCAGAGGCTTGGCGCCACTGGCTGTAGGGGACACTGTGTAGGGGCGGGAACAAGTGCTATGCATGCGGCGGCGGCGATGGCGGAGGTGGCGAGGGCGCGGCGATGGCGGTGGCGACGGCGATGGTGGCGGTGGCGGTGACGTGAGACGGGAGAAGAAGGCGAGAGCGGGTGGGAAGGTGAGGAGAAGACGGAGGAGGAGGAGAGAAGACGATGAGAGAGGGGTGCCGGGCTCGCAGCGAGAGTGCAGGGCGAGGGTGAGGGAGAGAGCGCCGTGCCAAAGGCCGCTGACGCCGCGCGTGGCGTGGATGTGGCGGAGGGCGGCGACGAGGCCGGCGTGGCGCGAGCTGGGGTCCTGGATCGTGATCGTCCCTCGCACGATTGGCTGGTTCACCACTTGGACCAGCGTCGAGATGCCGACCGCCGGCAGGGCGGTCGCCGCGGCAGGCGAGGCGCCCAGCGCGAGCATGCGGTCACGGCCGGCGTCGGCACAGTAGAAGATCGCGGCGCGTGCCCACGTCATGCCGAAGAGCGTCGCCGCGACGCCCTTGTACGGCGGGCCGAGCAGCACTTTTAGCCTCGCGAAGAAGGTCGGCCCCTGCGCCGTGAAGCCACTCTGCCCAATGGCAGCGGCCTTCCAGAGCGGGAAGTTGACCAGCGCGGCGAGGCCGGCGCCCGAGAGGTACGAGATCAGGTCGACCTGTGCGCCGGGAGCCATGCAGCGGCTTCCTGCGATCGAAGGCCGCCAACCTTCTCTGTAAGATAACAAACGTCTCTGCTCTCGCACAAAAGGTGTGCGCATGCGGTGTGGATCGGACAGACGATTTTGACGCATGTCCGTTACGGGAGACGTAGCGCCCGGATCCTACTGGTACACTATTGTTGACACCCCTGTACGAGTACGGTATCTTCCCCCCGAGCCGGTTTTATTTTCTGTAAATACAACCCAGGACGGCCGTCAGTCTCAATTACAACAACGATGACTCCAACGATTTGAAATCCTCGCCGATATATTGACTGCAGTGAGAGCGTCCACACAGGAGTGTGTGCGATCGGAAGGCACGCCGTTCGCGACTCGCCTGGCTCGACTGCAATCAGACTCATCACTCCAGTGTTCAGACTTCGACTGCGACTAAAGCCTCTTAAACATACTGTCCATCACTCCAGATAACAGCTCCATGAACAGCTCTCAGCTGTGGTGTTCTAATCAGCCGGCAGCCACCTATCGGCTATACCTATAGCCCTACTTCCACGTCCGTAATGTCCCGGGCGTCTGGGCACATCACAAGTGCCTGGTAGAGCATATTTGATATGCATAGTATGTAGTGAAAACACGCGTTCGCACGGCCCGCACGGGTGGCCACCCGAGCTACCCCAAGCTACCGGAGAGATATATTCCCTGAGAAGCAGCCCTCCACTGGTCTACATGTATATTCCAGGGAATATCTAACGGAAAAAATGCTCGCGACCGTCTATCCACACCATATAAGTTGCAACCGCAGATTTTTTCGCGAGGCAGGTGGCTTTTCCACCTGCGACGCGTGCAGCGCGTTTTTTTATCGACACCATATAAAGCTGCAACCTCGTCCGCCGATTTTTTCGCGACAGAGAGGGCTTTTCCACGCGCGTCGCGCGCACGCGTTTTTTCTAGGATTTCAAAAAGAAAATGTATAATAATATTGACCTTTGCTCAAACTTGAAAATGTATAATAATATTGACCTTTGCTCAAACTTGAAAGTGCAACAAACAGGTGTGGCAGCGCATACACAACTACGCCAGTGTGCTGGAGGAGCTACACTTTCCCAACCCCATAGCTGGCAAGAGCATCACCTGTTTCCACGCAGTAAGCGCCCGGCACCATAATTTGTGCTCGAGCAGGGAGCGCACAAGATTGGCATTATGTTATGCAAAGCGTGTTATCAGGTATGAGATGGACGCATATCCGTGTATTGCCCGACACAGTAAGGAAGACGGTGAGTGGCCGCATCAGCTGCGAACGGAACGAGTCCAGCGGAGCGCCCGGCTCAAAGTGCATTACAAAGGGCACTATGAGCAACAACAACACCCTAGATCCCTCCAACTTTGTGATGAGTCTCGTGTCTGAGGCATTTCGCAGCATCGATCTTTTGCAACACGTGCCCGAAGCGGTCCTGCGGAGATTGACGCGTCACTTTCACCGGATTCCGATCACAGTAGGCACGGTCCTCTTCAATGTGGGTGGTGCGCTACCCCTGCCTGCTCACGTTGCTTCTCTCGCTCCACCAGCTTCCTTGCATCTATGGACACGGTACGCGTAGATGCAAGCGATAGCTTCTACGTCATCGAGAGTGGCGAGTACGCAATCGAGGCGGCGATGCACCGCAGTGGCTGCAACTGTCGAGCGCAGGAGCGCTACCTCCAGTTGGTAGATTCAGACGGCTTTGGCGAACTCGCACTCCTCTCAGATCGGCCTCGTACTGGTACCGCCTGCTGAGCCAACGGGTTAGGGTTAGGGTTAGGGTTAGGGTTAGGGTTAGGGTTAGGGTTAGGGTTAGGAACGCGCAAACCGAGTGCCCGAGTGAGTGTGTGTGTGTGTGTGTGTGTGTGTGTGTGTGTGTGTGTGTGTGTGTGTGTGTGTGTGTGTGCCGCTCTGTGAGGGGTCCAGGCGCAAACCGAGTGCCCGAGTGTCTCGCACGAATGAAATCGAATATCAAAAAATAAAGAAAAAACACCAACGGAACATTCCACGAAGGTGCTCATAGCCGTACAGTGAGTGCACGCGGCCCCCCGGGGTATAGTGAGGTGGTTTGACCTCTCTCTCAAGGGCACGCCTATCGTCATGGGCACAATGTCAAGGGCACCAGGTTCGATGGCGCCTCGTGAAGATGGCGGCCGGCTCTACGCCGGTGTGCAAGCCGCCGGGCGGGTCATGCTCAGCGGTGGCGTTAGCGGCGTGGCAGCTCGCGTCTGCACCCATCCCTTTGACACAATCAAGTCGCGGCAGCAGGTGGCGGGAAGCCTGGACGGCGGTGTGCGCCGCCTCGCGCGCGCCTCCATGCCAACGGCTCTGCTCTCTGTGCTCCGCGACGAGGGCGTCGCGGGCCTGTATCGAGGCTTTGGCGCAGTCGCGTTCGGCGTCCCGTTTGCTAGCGCCTTTTACTTTGGAGGGTACGAGTGGAGCAAGGCTCTCCTCGGCGAGGGCACCGCAGCGTACATCTGCGCGGGACTGCTCGGCCAGAGTGCGGCCGGCCTGGTGTACACTCCGGTGGACGTCATCAAGGAGCGGCTGCAGGTTCAGAGCCTGGTGGGGAGGCAGGGCTACCGGTACGCCTCGGCACTCGACGGGCTGCGGAGCGTCGTGCGCGCCGAGGGCGCGGCGGGGCTGATGCGCGGGTACTGGGCCAACAACGCAACGTGGTGGCCGTGGAACGTGGCCTACTTCCTCGCGTACGAGTGCGGCCGCGGCGGTGGAAGAGGCTGTGCCCGGACGCGTGTCCTCGGACCCTCGGCCCTCTTCCTCCGAATAGGCACGGGCGCGACCTCGTGGCGCGTCACGCGGGCGTCGCCGACAAGGCGCAGCTTCCGCCCGCGACCTCGTCCGCGTGCGCCTGCGCCGCCGCCGCTGCGGCGACGCTGCTCACCTCGCCCGCGGACCTCGTCAAGACGCGGCTGCAGACGGCGGTCGGAGAGAGGCGCGGTGCGGCGGCGATCGCGGCGGACCTGTACCGCGCCGAAGGTGCGCGCGCCTTTTTTGCGGGGGCGCCGGCTCGCGTGCTCGCCATCGCGCCCGGGAGTGCCATCTCCTTCTTCCTCTACGAGGTCGCCAAGCGGCTCGCGGCCCCCACTTGCACTGGCGAGCTCCCGCAGCTGGAGAGGATGAAGCGAGCGCGGTCGGAAGTCTGACATTTCGAGAGACATTGACAAGACACAAAGTCAACCAAAAAAAAGCGCCCTCGTCGATCTGTGCGAGACGAGAGGTGGAGCAGGACGAGTTGCGGAGATCAGCAGGAGGATGTACCTCGAAGAGATTAGGAGCAGCAGGGACCCGAGGGGGACCAGGTGGAAGACGGCTAGTGCTAGTCCCCCATCGGGAGAACGACCCCGGCTAAAGGGGATGTGGACCGTGAGTTGAGGAAATCGGAGGACGCGACCCACTTCGCCACAGACGGTGTCCCGCGCCTCGCCGCTATGACGGCGACACGGCCGCAGCTCGTGTGCGTGTCGCTTGTCCGGAGTGAATACTCCAACGCGCTCGTCGGTGACGGTGTCCTCCAACCTGCGCCGCGCTCGGCGAACCTCGACAGCGCCTTCGATGGCATGCAGCTCTTTGCGCCTGAAGCTTGGAGAGCAGCTCCTCTGCTGCTCACACGCTCTGCACAGACGGCACAGCCTACTGTGCGGCTGCCACAGCTGTGACAGCGATGGGCTCGCCCTCACTGGCCCTCAGTCACTTGTGCTGCGGCTTGTGTGAGCGACACTGCTCGGCGACTCGCCGGCACACTGTGAGACCATGGGTCTGAGGTTAAACCACGCTACCAGCGCTTGATCACATCGGCCCCGCGGGCACGCTGCCGGCGTGGGAGGCGCGCAGCCGGCGAGTGCGCGAGGCGAGCACGGGGACGACCAGGCCGGCGCGATCTCCGCCTCCGAGCTGCACCTGCTGGCACTCGCCTCGCCTCGCGACGAGGAGTCCCGTCTGGCCGGAGAAGGCGCCGCCCGTCAGCTGCACCGCCTCCTTCTCCTCCGCCGGCTCCGCCTCCCACGCCTCCCACGTGCCGCTCGCGTGCCCGTCGGCCGCCTCCGCCTCGAGCAGCGCGCCCATCTCGGCCACGGCGTCGCCAACAAACTGCCGCACGCGCGCCGCCTCCGCCGCCTCCGCCGCCTCGGCCTCCGGCGCGCCCGCCGGCGGTCTGTCGGCGCGGAGCACCCTCCCGATGGCCTCGAGGTCAGCCAGCGCGTCGCGCGCCGAGGTGTACCCGCCGCTGCTCGCGCGGCTCAGCATCGCGCCGAGCGAGGGCGGCGGCGGCGCTAGCGGCAGGCCCGCGCGCGCAATCGCCGCCTCGCCGAAGCGATCAGCGAGCAGCTCGGCGGCGGGCTTGGCGGCTCGAGCGAGCGCAGCATCGCTTCGACCGCGGCCGAGGCGCGGGCCGCCGCCTCGCGCGAGCGTGCTCCGGCGGCGGCCGGCGAGTCGGGCGGCGGCGAGTCGGCGGCGCGGTCGCGGCGCGTGCGCTTCGGCCGCGCCAGCCCATCGCGCGCGGCCGCCGACGGCGGGGGCGGCATCGACGACGAGGCCGCCCTCGCCGCCGCCCTCGCCTCGACCGCCGCCGGCGTGTCGCGCTCGTCGTAGCTCATCGAGGCCGCCTTGCCGCGCTTGGCGCGCCCCGCCGCGGCCGCCGGCGGCACCTGGGCGGGGGCGGTGAGTCTCAGGGCGCGAGTGTCACGACTCCCGATGATTCGATCCGGCGCTTGCGCGCCGCGCAGTAGCACGCACGCTGCGTGAGGTTCATGTAGCGCCGGTGGAGCCACATCGAGAACTGCGCCGTGCCGAGCGAGAGGGCGTGGCACACGAAGGTCTGCGTCACCGATCGCTGCTCGATCGCCTGCAGCGGGGCGCGCCGAGCCGAGCGTGACGAGCGCCGGGCGTGGCGGCGAGGGGAGCGGGGCGGAGGAGGCAGGCCGCCGCAGCGACGCGACCACAGCCGCGGCCACGCACAGCCACGGGCACGCGCCTGCTGCACGAGCGGGACGAGCCGCTCATACGCGTCCTCGGGCCAGTCCGCGGCTGCGGCAAGCTCGCGGCCCATCTCCGAGGTCCCGGGACCCGCCTCGTCCGCCACGTACACCCCGTCCGCCTCCGCAGTCTTGCGCGCGCCCTTCCTCTTCCTCGATGCTCCGGCCGCACCTCCTGCGGGGGCGCCGCCCGCGCCCGAAGCGGCTGCCGCTCCGCTCGTCGCACCCGCAGCGGGCTCGTCCGTCTGGGTTGACGCCCGTCTGGGTTTTTTTGCGCCGAGTCGAACTGCGGGATTCGAACTCGAGACCCAATGCAGTTTTGCGACGGTGGGTTCTCATCCCCTCATAATAAGCCGTCAGTGTGCGACCTCTTGCTATATTTCGACTCTCAATGGCTCGCATGCACCTCCT